ACACAAGACAAAGGGCACAGTTTTTCCCGATACGGACCGACCTTGGCTGGTGAATAACATTTTTTTTTCCCAAAACTTAACAAATGGTTGCGTAAAGAACCTGAATGATAAAGGGCTGTAATTATGGCAAGATTCTCCATAAACGGAACAATTTATGAGCGAGTAGATGATAGAGAAAACAAGGGCAATGCAAATGAAAGAGAGAGGTTTCATCAAAACATATTTATTTGCGTAATGATATTAAAAGGTGATTTAAAAGGCTTCCCAGAAAACTTCGAAACAAAGGATCGGATACCGCCCGCTGTGAGCGGGCCGGATGGGAAGAATATTGCCCGCTCTTGGAACCAATCAGATTGCAGGATTTGTAGAATACCGCCCGCTTACCAACTGAGAAAAAACAAATGAAGATACTCTATAATGTGTGGGATGCCACGGAATGTGAGATATTCTGCCTTGGCTACCTCTCGGATTTGATGGTGTTTTGACAGCACTCACACATATGTATGATCTTAGGCGAGATAGGTTATCGTTCTTTTTTTTCGTATTATCTTTCTCATAATGAATCTAACTTCCTAGTTGCGTTAGATGTGACCCACATACTTCTGAATAAAATAACCAAATCCCTCCTCCGCTCATGTTGTGTAGTATTCAATTCTACATGGCAAAATAGTTGAATTAGAGTCGTCTTAAGTAAAATGGGCCAGAATAAGATGCATGTGGTTATTTTACATTTCCTGAGGAAAAGAGTGCAGGCAGAACCTCCCACTCCATTTCAGACGGGTCTCTAGGTTTGCTTTGCGTTTTTTTTTTTTGCCTAATGAAACACAGCAGTGTAGTATAACTCATAATGTTTTCATTTTGGTTGGAACTAGTCACATATTTGGAACGTTAATCTAGCGTTATGTGTTAAACTGAACGATCAAAAGGGATTCGTTAACTTGAGTACATAACACATCTTTTGAGCATGACCACATTATTCGCTGGATGTCGGCTAATGTAACACTTTTCAGGTAATGTATTGTTGTAAGAGCACACCTTGGCTACTAAGATAAACCTACTCTGGCTACAAATGAAGATACTAGGTAATGTGTGGGATGAATGGTATGGCACGGAATCTCAGGCTACCTCTCAGATTGGATAGCTTTCTGACAGCACCCATACACATTTGGCCGAGAA